GAGTCTTGGATTGAATCTTCAAGAAGGTAATTTTACATTCGTCAGCTGTCACATCTCCTTCCAATTGGATTTCAATTTTTTGTATTCGCAGCGGGTTCGCGAAACGCACGTCGTCGTATCGAACGCGACGTTCATTCACGTCCCGCTGCGAATTCACACTCGATGGATTCCATTGGCGGGAGATTGGCCGATAGGGTGTATCGAGCAGATTGAATAAGGCACTATGCGCGATACGACACGAGATCTCTGGGAGACTGTGTCCTACTTATAGCGGGTTGAATAACGCCGCCGAGCGCGCCGAGCTCTCAGGATCTCGAACGGACTCTTTAAAGGCCCGTGCCTTTTTCCTTTCGAACGTTGTTAAGTCTCGTTTACGGCGACCGTTACCCGCTTCACGGAAACTCGAAACAGTATTTTAACTCTCTAAAGTCAGCGTCCCACGGAAACTAAACGCGCCCATTTTACGCTCAAAAACACGAAAGCGATCGTTTCAATTTCAATCAGTCCTAAATTTCAAAATGATTATGTGAAAATAGGTTTGAATAACACCAGTAGACTTTGCATCACAATGAATCAAGTTTGCAATGTGATTTAATACCCAAGAAAGTTGATGTCAACTTAGATATTCACGATACTCCCGTTGCTAGTAAACAATCTCGGCACTGAATGGCGTTAAACTTTCTTCCCTTTAAACTTCCTTACTGTTAATGCTGTCTAACTCATTTTACAGTATTAACTTTTTCCGCTTTTTTTTTGTTTTCTAAAGACGTATCTGAAATAAGATGTACTGCCGAACGTATTACGCATTATCCAATCTTATCAATTTAAGAGAGACTGAAATTTACTACAGCATTATTCAGATTTATATTCATGAAATTAAAAAAACAAGAGAAATACATCCGTGAAAATAGTAATTTGATGTATGTCGCTTTTGTGCATCTATGTATACAAAGCATAAGGCCATATTTTCTACGTATCTATGTGAAATAAAAAGCATCGCTAATTACAAGGAATTCCTAATGAACGAGCCGTCCACGGTGATAAATTCACGGCACCAACCGCAGATGCAGGCTAAATTAAAAATCTGCTAGCGCTGCCATATGAATTTCCCGCGATTCCCGTTCTAAATTCATTCTTGCCAGCTGCCTGACTCTTTTGTGTTATAACATACATCATTCGGATACGCGTGTGTAAAATGCGTACGTAAGATGTGACGGGTCGCAGCGCCAAAAATAACGCGTGTGAAACAGCCCGTCGTGAATTACGCGGCCGGCCACCCGAGAGTTTGCACCTGCATGCTGGCGCGCATCGACGGGATGCGCGTGTTGAAGGCAGTCAGATAAATTTCGACACACAGGTGCGACATACAGGTCGAGGCGATATACGAGACGGCGAGGCGACAAAACTGAAATTTCCACGATTTATTTGGCCGTGATTGCTATCATTTTACAATTGCTCTTATTAGCACTTTAAAGCGTTGACCTGTTTATTAGTTTAGCACGGTTTACGAAACTCGATCTAGCGCTCAATCGTATTCGAAGAACATTATTGGGTCATAGCGATTGGAAAGAGGACCACTAAAATATTCCTATAAAATTCTATTTTTGTTCACAAAATACGCGGACCTTTATTTGTAAAATAAAACGTGTGATCGATTTTTAATTTGCAATTTTCTATTTATATACGGTGTAAAAAGGTTAAAAAGTAACTTTTAACGTAATGTAATTTAGTGTAACAAAATTTCTCCACATTATTATAAACATAAATATTTCTTATATCTTCCAAAAATAATATCATCTTACATAAAATGTGACTAACAAATTAATTCATAAATTCGATTGCAATTAATTTTGTCATTTTCGGAAACTTATGCTCTACATGCAAATTAATATTCATTTCCGCAAAATTAGATTTTATATGATAAAGAATTAAACGGATGGTTGAATGGTGTCTTCGCTTATATACGAACCACGTAATCTCGATGATGAGCAAAAACTTTTGCGACTAATCCCACGAACGTGTTTACGTTTCGGAAAGTTCGCGTATAGGTTTTAATACCAATTTTCTTTCTTTTTTTTTTAACCGAAACCGCATAAGCCTCGATCGAAGCTAATTCGTATCGGCAGCCGCGCTATTCGGCTCGTTGTAGATTAAAAAAGGATCACGCTAGCTGTGCAACTAGACGAACCTTCGAGGCACCTGTTGATCCTTCTCGTTAAAGTTTGAAGAAAGTGACCTGTCCTGGTCCTGCAGACACGCAATTGCAAAGCAAACGCTAAGGCAGCGCTGACACACGAAAAAGTAGGCAGGCAGCGCGACACACTACGGGCTTTACGGACAAATCAGATTTTTCCTGCTCGAGCCGGACATGAATACACATTACGTTATCCATTAAATCCGGATCTATGCCGAAATTATCTTTAGCGCTATTTTACGAGACTCATCCGGCGCTCTAACGGAACCGCGGCATTATACGAAGCTTCGCGCTTACACGTCGTTTACGATAATGTTAGACAAAATAGTTTGCATAAAATTATTTGAGCGATATAATTTACATACAGAGTGTCCTATTACTATCGCCACGTCTCTCTACTAGCTTGCCGAGAAACAAGGTAAGAATAATGATGGTTCCTGAAATTTCAAGACGCCTACACAGTACCTGAGAAATATAAAAATAAAATGTTCTTGGAAATTAAATATTTGAATTTCAAAACATAAAAAATAATAGAAAGTTTCTTTGAAATTTCGAGGCAATTTCATAAATTTATTACACTGCATTAATTGTACGAAGTAAATATTTTTGTCTCTTGATATAAAATTAATTCTGCTAATCATCTAGCATCTAATCATCACTTTTTTATAATATATTACATCTATTTTTTAAATAAAAAAAAACGTCGGATATCATGTTATTTTGATGTTATAATAATTGTTGTAAGGAAGAATTTTTGGGCGAAATAAACTATTGCTGCTATTGCTCTTCGAGTTCTCAAATCTAAGTCAAGTGTTCAACCGAAGATTTACGTTCAAGACGGAAGCATGACCTACTTCTGCCCAATTCCACAATCATCACTGTCTAATCCACCGACCCTCCTTCTCAGTACTCACATTCCATGATCAATACGAACCAGTTGAACCTTCCCGATAGTAGACCTTTCTAGAAGAGCACTTCCGAAAGTGTTTGGACATCGTCCAGTATTTGACGACACTCTCATGGACGATGCACATAAAGGAAAAAATGCAGTCGAAAAATGCGATCAAGTAAGAAAGAATAAACTTGATCTAAATCGCGGGTAACAAGTAGGTGCAACTACCGGGCGGTCCCCGGTGACTCGGATTACAGCGTGATTGTCAGCTGTCCGAGCGAAAACGCAACAAAAATACCATTGGCATAGATTCGGCCGGGCAGAAATAGCAGTCGTGTCGCGAAATAGAGAAAATAAGCGGCGCTTCCGAAGCATCGGACGCGCGCGAGCTCGCGAGAATACGGAAGATATGCGTCCGAGACTTTTGCTGCTTGTGCTCGTGGCCATTTCCGATATCGGACCGCGAAAGAAAGGAAGGAAATGCTTGGCGAAACGTGGGGCAGGATTTTATGAGCCAGTAAATTTCGCGCAAATATGCGCTTTCAAGCCACGGCAATATTTCCGCCAAACGGAATTTATTACGCTCGTTATCCGATAGATTGGATAATTATTAAACTCAGAGTATTGATGGAGTGTTTTGTACTACGAATTGCGCAACACATACACTCCATAATATTGTTATACATGATACAAACTTTTAGTAAGTTTTAAATTAAAACTTTTCTTTCCAAAAATACGACAAGAAATTTAATCAAGTAAATGTCTAACATTCAAAGATTTCGAAAATCAAATATATGTATAAATGTAATAACACATATTTATATATATATATATTCCTATTCATTAAAATATATTTTAATATTATATAAATACACAAATATATGAATTATCTTAAATTCCACCTGGGGAATCGCGAATCAGCGTTTCCCGAAACAAAAATTTGAAAATTTGAGAGCTATAAAAAAGAATTTTGAATTTTTGAAACATACATCTTAAATTTCAAGGTTTGAAGCTTTATAAATTATTCAAGCGCCAGAGCAATAATAATTCGAAGAAAGTAAGAAGCACGATTAAACTTGATGGAAACACGCATTGCCGAAATAATTCAAAGCACAAAACACTAAGCGTCAAAGTTTTATATAAAAAAACAACATACGAGCAAGGGACTGTAACGCTCTCGTTAAAAAGTTATAACGACGCTGAAGTTGGTTGGCAGATTGTGTCGAATGCTCAAACTCTCATGCACTTCTACGTACAGTTCACTTGTATTATATGGGATGCATAACGAACCTCGCCGCATCGTAAATGCACTATTGCACTCTATCGCTGCGTCAGTTTCAAAAGTTACGAAAGCGAAAACCGATTTATCGGCAACTTCCCTCATTCGAATAAGTTTCTAAATTTAAGGTTTAAATATTTACACGCAATATATATATCGCTCTTTTTGCTTTGCAACAATCTGTTGAAATAAAAATATGTCCTATTTCCATATTATATAAAAGATAACCCAAACACATTAAGATTAACATATCGTCATAAATAAAAATTGACATGCGAGAAAAGAACGAATGAACGAATAATATGGAAGGATCATTGTATTTGTTAAAGCGCAATTTCCGAGCGGGCGTACGAAGTTTTTATCATGATTCGCCCTTAGAAGAAAAGAGCAGAACATTATAATCATTCAGGCGTTAAGGTTGGTTGTAGCTAGTATCGATTCATAACAGTAGACACATAAATAAAAAAGAAAAAGGTACGAGGAATATAAATATTAACGTACAAGACACAATACATGCATGTATTATATATGAGATGAGCAATGTATCATTTATATAATACATAATTTATATAGGTAATGCATAAAAGATTCGTTACGACTCATCGATAGAGATTTACAAAGAACACAGCACTTACCCCAGCGTAGTCATCGTGACGATGGTGTACCAGAAGGCGGAGGGTATCGAGGTGAAGTTGGTGCCGTCGACGTTTTTCTCCGCGTAGAACATAACAGTGGCGAAGATGATGATCGCCATCGCAAGCGAGAACACGAGGAAACCCAGCTCGGACGCGCAGGATTTCAAGGTGTAGCCGAGGATTCGTAGTCCCTGCGAGTGGCGCGAGAACTTGAAGATACGGAATACGCGGAACACACGCAGCGTCACGAACGCGCCCGACACGTCGTCGTTGTCGGTGATTCCGAGTCCAATGTAGTACGGCAGTATCGCGACCACGTCGATGACCGACATCACAGAGCGCGCGAACTTGCACCGGCTGGGCGCGGCAAACAGCCTCAGCAGGTACTCGGCTGTGAAGATCATCACGCACGCGGTGTCGAGGCAGAAGAACACGATCTTGTAGCGCTCGCCGCACGAGAGGGTGCCGGCGCGGCCCGGACGATTGCCGCACGGCACAGTCTCCACCACGTTCGCCAGCACGCTCACGGCGATGAAGAACCCGGTAACATAGTAGAAAACCAGCGCGGCGGTGGAGATGTGCGGATTCTGGAAAGCCCGCCACATCTTCTCCCGGATGTCGAGCAACTGCTGGAGGGTCTGATCGCCATTTTCGCTCAGCTTGTCGTCCATCAGCCGCTCGGCGTTCTCGCGCTTGCGATCCCGATAGTCTTCGTAGCAGCAGTCGCCGATCACGTCCGGCAGGATGCCAAAGAACGCCAGCTCCTCGTCGTAGCTCGTCAGGCACTCGTGCTTCGGATAATGCAACTTGCCGGTTCTATAATAGTTGAGGATGTGCCGGAAGATGTCCGGGTCCCGATCGAAGAAGTATTCCTTGCACTCTTCATCGTAGAAGAATTCGCGCTCGTTCGAGCCGAGCAACGTGTCCGGATATTTTTCCAAGGTGTTGCGCCACGTCTCGAAGCGACGGCCACTCACGTTGATCAGCAGCTTCTCGTCGTCAGCCTTGCGCCGATCTTTCGGGATCGGCGGCGGTGGCAGTGGGTGTGTGGCGATCGGCACCCAGCCGATCGCCGCCGCGCGGGCAAATGGCAGCCACGCTGCCACCGAGGCCATGCTTGAAGGTGGAATCTTCCTTCAGGATTAGCGGGAGGGCCAGCGTACTTGAAGCGTTGGCAGCACGCTCTACTCCGGCCTCGCCGAGTCGACACCCCTCGATAGCCTCTCTTTGCACAATCTAAATCTAGATCTATGATAAGTCTAACGTCGACGATTCGACTCGCATCGATCGGCTGCGATAAATGCTTGTTTCGACGAGGGATAAAACTCTTGAGATTGCGTAAGGTATCTCTTCGCCGTTCGGCATTTACCAACTGAAATTTACGGCATCGTGCGCCGCTCGAATGTTCGTCGACCTTTTCTCGATGATACTCTAGATATCCTCTCTGCAATAAACTTGAAATGATTTTTTGTGTACCCAATTGGCAGCCTTCCAAAGATTTCTTTTACAGTCACAGATCTGATAAATCCTTTGAACTTAAAGACTTCCTCCCTTCAATTTGTGGCATAGAACACGCTATTTCTTGCTTCGGTTCTTCTTAGGTCAGCTCGAACTGATATTCGTTTGATTCATGCTTCTTCAAGGCCGCCGCACAATCAGTAGTATGTATATTAGCCTAGATCTTTCCCAAACAACAATCACGTTGCTAATTTCTATTTTTAATTTAAGTTCTCTTCAGCTTTTAACGTTTCTTCCAATCATAATTTTTACATCCAGGATCTATTTGCTACACGCCTCTCTCGCAATCGACAGCCGCTCTACTTCCATCTATTTGGCTCGCTTATCTACGTATTATCTACGTAATTATTTAACTACTCGTCCCGCGTTACACTTTTCAACGAAACTTTCCCTCCCGAGAACTAATTCGATTTGTTTTAGAGCCTCTTATCGTCGCTCTTGCTCTTTAAAAATCAGATATGGAAATAGTCTCTTACCGAGACCCGTCGTACCTCGCCGCATTCCTCGTTATAAGGTCCTCGGTCGTAATGACACCCTGAAGAAACCTATTAACTGGTCAGGCAACATTTGCCTCTCCAATGTTGCGACGACGACGACATCGACGTCGGCAATCTAACGTCAGCTACGATCCAAAATTCCTCATTTCACGCCTTCCATTCCTTAAGGATTTTTTTCTTTCCCTTTTCTTTTTATTGATCCCTCGAGGAAATATCGAGCTTAACGAAGTGACGACCGGCGTCTAGCGAAGTATGAGCGGAGCAGAGACGCGCGCCGGGTCAACCAATCGCATTCTGGCAACGTGCCTTCCACCATCATCGATAGTCGCGTGATAGCTCTTCGAGGTATTCTTCAGGGTATCGCACCGGAGATCTTCCACCTGTTTCGGCTCGCTTTCGGCCACCACGAGAGCCTGAGCTTGAGTCTCCCCCAGCAAACATCCACCAGGATACTACATTCTCGAGCTTGCAAGTTCTTTTCATTAAATTCTTATATAGATAGTAGTGCACTTCTCAAAAAAGCGATTGTCGACGACATTGCTTGTAGATAAGACTCGATACGTTTCCCTATCGAGCCGAGAAGGCTTTGTAGATTCACATAACGAGTGATAAAACGTTTCTCTTGTAAGGACACTCGTTAAGAAGAAACTCGTTTTAAAGGCTCGAAGAAGATCACGATACACTTATAAATTTAGTACTGCGAAAAGATCGAAGGTTTTCTTTAACATTTTTTTTTTTTCTTTGTGTGTACCTTGCGGATAAAGTTCACGCGTAGAGCTTTTCACAAAATATTCTTTAGGGCACTATATACAGAGATGTTTCCTCAAAGCGCTGCTCGCTTGTGAATGCCAGCTGGCTGAAGATGAGAAGAATTTCATTTGTTACTGCAAGGCTTTTGCATATTACCCGGGCATTCGCAAGCTTGTACACATTTAAAGTTGAAATTTGCAGGGATGAAGCTTTGCCGAAGCTGCTTATAGAATAGAGGAAAAACCGCTTACGAGTAAACACCAAACAATCAACGAAAGAAAAGCGTCCGCAGCTTTCCGGCGTACTTGTTTAAAGCTCCGCCGTGCTTCGCGTCAGAACAAAAAAAAGGCGTTTGTCATTCACTCGAACTAAACGCCGAGCGAGCTTCGTTCATCGGGCACTTCGACAGCACACGCGAGCTGTTCTTTTTTTTTTTTTTTCCTTCTTTGATCGCGCAAGTTTGTCTCACGCAGTCTCTCTCTTTGTGTGGTCCCAGACTCCTTCCTCGTGGCTTCCCTGACAATCGCCGGGGAGCAAGCACGAAGCTATCTCACCGACACACGCGACGGCTTACGCAAGCATCGCGCGTGCTACTCCCGCGACGCATCCAGACCTATCAAGCTCCACACGTTCGTTCCTCGCGACTCGCCGATCGCAGATTTCGGAAGCACCGCCAGATTTCGATCGAGAGTCTTCACGACGGAATTTTCCCCGAGAAGGTAGCGCGTCTCCGCAAGCTCCGGCACTAGAAGCTCGCACGTCGATCTTCCCCCTCAGGCGTCCGCTTCGACTATTCTCCGCAAGCTTGTGCGCACTGCGATCCGCACACGAGCTCGAGTCTTGCCATGCCCGAAGCTACTTGGTGCGCGAGTACCACTCTTTCTCCCTCGCCCGAGAGCTTTTCTCCACCGCTGTTCCTTCCACTGCGTGATGCGGCGCGTCGCGCGCGCCAGCAGTGCGTACGCGCGGATGCTCCCGTGCGTATACGTGGTGATTGTGTATGCCTGTAATACGTGTACGTTGTATGTAAATGCGTGTGGTGCGCCTTTGCGCGCGCGGTACCGTCGCAAGCACCACGATGGAGCAACCGCTCGATGAGTTGGCCGCTCGCGACTGCCGGAGCTTGGCTCGCGACACCGAGCTTATGTGGTGGTTCGCTGGTGGTGCGGTGGTGGCAGTCGGCAGCCCGGCACCTCCAGAGAAGCGTGGTTCCCGTCGCCTCGCCAGAGAGAGCGGAGCTGGCCGCGTCGCAGCAGCGCCGAGCGAGCACGGAGCGGTCACCTAGCCAAGGTCTAAATTGATTTTTACGGCGGTGGCGACGCGCGTCGGCGTCCCGACGCGGCGAATGTTTCCCGTTGCCCGGGCAACCCCTCAACGATGACGTCACGGTTCCCACCACCATCCCCCTTTTGCACCCGCCGCCAACCGCCCCCTTCTCTTACCGATCCGCTACCGCTGCCCCCGTATTTCCACTTTAGCCTACTTGCGCTTTGAGAAACGCTAGCTTTCAGCTTCGCCCGCTCGCTCCATTCGCGCGGTTCTCTAATGAGAGAGAGAGAGAGAGAGAGAGAGAGAGAGAGAAGAGAGAGAGAGAGAGAGAGAGAAAAGATAGAGAAAAAGAGAAAGGAGGTGAGAAAGTGAGGGGGGGGGGGAGAGGGAAGGGTAGAAGTCACCCGCCACGCTTGACGCCTTTCACGCAAACCCTCGTATTTATCGTACTGTTGCGGTTTCTCCTATTTTTGTATTCATTCATTCCTTCGTCCTTTGTCCTCATTGCCAACGCTCGCTGCGATTCTCCGCATGAATCCATTCTAACGAAGTGTTACGAGCTCTCCGCATTTTCCATCAGCGAGGAAGCCCCTCTGTCTTCATCTCGCACGATTAATGTCTCAACACGAATCATCTCACTCAAATCCTCACAAAATCGCCATTTATGTATTTTAATATAAAGTCAGTTCGGCTTACTCCAGTTTACTCTGCTATTCTCTCGCATAATCCGTCGTACTGTACCGTAATCGAGCTTGCTACGGACTTATTCCGCCTTATGGACGGTTAAGTCTATCCCGCAGTTAGCTAATCTTAGCTCTCTTATATTACATTATCGTTCAAATCTAAAGAGACGGAAAAGCAGTTATCTTTTGCATGGCTTCACGCGACATTTAACCTAACGTAATGAACTCAACCATTATTCTCACTGCCTGTATCGCGCATAAATGGAAATAGTAAATAAAATAAAGACGGGTGCGCTGCTCTCTCTTTCTCTCTCTCTCTCTCTCTCTCTTCTGTTTGGCGCCTCTTGTTTGACAGCGCCACGAGCGATTATCCAGCTAAATCCAGTCCTATTATCTCCTCTTGCCTTCTCTCATCTTCCGTTCCGTCCCTGGCGAACAATAAAGTTTCCCATTCTATCTGCTTCTTCCACCACTTACTCTATCTGCGCGCTAGCGTGTTATCCGCCGGGCACCGTTCCATTCTCTTCGCAGTTCTTTTCGTTCGACTTTCTTGTATTTGTACCGTTTCCATCACCAGTATCAATCACTATACTCGCACTCCCTTTTCTCGTATATTCACCTCAAACTGTAATTTCAGATCGTTTGTCTCGTCTTTTCTTGGCAGTTTTTTATCCGCTTTTTTTATCTTTCCTTAATATCCTTTTTTTATCTACTCTTTCAATCGATTCCTCTTTTATATCTCTGTCATCTCCTCCATTCTTCATTTTATTTATTTTCCTCATTTTTTCAGTGAATTTTGAATTATTACTAAACTTCAATTGTTTTTTTTTTTTTTAATTTGTTAACCGTGCAATTTCATGACCGAAAACGTTCCCTATACGCGCATAGTTAAAAGTAATTAAAGATAAATTATGTAACTCGACGTACCCACAGAAAATTTATTTCTAACACAAACGATGTAATAACGTATACGATGTAATAACGTATATACGAATAATTTTTAAATTTTTTTGCGACCAATTAACTCGTTTTGCCATTGTAAAAGGCATTTGTAAAAAAGTTAAGTTGACTCGTTTCTCTAGTAAAAGAATTTAAAATCATGTGAACATTCTTGCAGGCTTATTTGATTAACGATCCCCGCATTTTAGGAAGAACGACTGCTCTCGGGCTGTGTTCGCATTTTCCGTCGCTTTTTCCTTTACATTTTTTCATGCCCTTCATTTCCTGTTCATTACCATCGAGCCAACTCTATGGATTACGATTTCGCTCCACGTTCTTTTGCGCTTTTTTCATCTGGCAAACGTGCCGGCTTTATCCGAGAAATAAAAGACCCCCTTTTACTTTCTTTTATTCTTGCATACTACTTTTGTTTTTTTCCAGTTTCATTACCACGTGTCTCACATGTTTCCTTTGCTCATCCGCTAAGTGTTGCGTTATTTTTTAGCTTCCTGCTGTGAGACAGACACTTCGTTTAAGCTCCAGTTCATCTGTCTTGGGCTGAACGAAGCGCAGGTGGCTTCACAGTTCTCTTCCTTGTTGTCGTTCTGATAGTAGCGCTTCGCTTTGAGGCTTTGAGACGAAGTAATATATATAAGGAGTTTCTATTTTTCACTATGAATAGAATTCAAGAAAAAAAGAAAACAAAGGGGAGGTCTCTTATTTCTGTGCAATTTCTAGAAATGCGTAGATCTGGTATTGATTTAAGAATAAAATATAATTATATTACATCAAACCGAAAACATTATTATACAAAATTCGTCTCTAATTGTGGAATAAGTAACTCAGTATAGCAAACAATAAAAATCAAGGACAGATGCAAGAAGAACGAGCGTCGACAGATAAATTCTCAACTCTCTAATGAACGTGCGAAGAAGTGCAACTTGGAGATGAGAATGTATAGACAAGAGGATGTTTGGGTAGACTAGTAACATCTCCGTAAGACATCGTTTTTGCAGAAAATTCTTGAAATGTCTACCATAATACTGACTTTAACACAAAAAATTTGAAAAATTATACGATAAATTACAAGAACAAAACTATACTCCAAAAAATTACATTTCAAAATACCTATATCTCAAAATACGAGGGTAAGTCAGAACTTATCCGCAATTTTTTCAAGTAAAACGTAATTTGGATATTGCGGATAATTTCTGACATACCCTAGTATTATTTTCTTAAGCAGCTAAATAATATAAAATATAGAAAAAAATAAAAAAAGTATTGTTGTCAGTTTTAAATCAGTATAATCATTTTTACATTATGTGTAATCAAAATTTATAATCAATTTTTGCTGGAAATGATAGTTATGATAGTTTAATGAAACGTCAATTACTTAACTCTTTGATACAAAACGAATCTAATCTAAAATGTAGCCATTTTGACACATCCCTTTTATATATTCTACATTTGTACTGGACAATGTAAGGGACTTTAGGCGCGACAATTTATCACAGTCAGAAAAATCCTGCAAAATCGCCGATAAAAAGGTGGACTATATACGCGAGAAGTAAACTGAAAGTTTGAACAAAGCGACGGAAGTAGCGATACGCCGCAATATGACCTCCTTCCGGCGGATTTTGCAAATACAACTCCTCGGATTTGCAATAAATGCGACCGAGTATTTCCCGGAGTATTTTCCACAAACGAGGGACTCGCGTCCCTTTCGCGTATTTTTCTCTCTTTCTCTCTTTCTCCTTTCACGCGGAACTTTTCAATTAACGTCACGTTTCCGTTTGTAATCGGCGATTTTTTTTTTTCGTTGGCAGGTTTTTTGCGATCGTTATTGCAGCAAAAAAAGACAACAACAAAAAATTCGCAGCATTGTGCCGATTACATGGATGTTATTGCACCGTGAATTAAAATAGTTGGATTACAAATTGAATATTATTTCGGCAATAAATAAAATGTTTCTGATATATTAAATTAGAGCAATTTATATGTATATATACAATACAATATGTATATAAACTTTATAAATAATAAAAATATATATCAAGAATAATTTTATATATTTCTCGTATATAAAAATAAATACTTCATATTAAATCACTATTATTAAAATAAATTTATACAATATGCATTAATAGTTTTGATAAAATAATACAATATCATATTTTCACAACGAGATATTTTCGCGACGCTTTAAAAGACAAAACTGTAGCACGAAAGAAATTATTTGCTCTCTTTCATAACCCACAAATCCGAAATATTTGATCCTTAAAAATCGCAGAAATTAAGGACGCAAAATCATCCAGCGAGAAACAAGGCCAAGCTTCCGCCAAAGCTGCGAAATGCTCGGTAATTGCACTGAGTCATCTGCTAAGCTCTTCGTTAAAAATCTCGAATCTTTTCCTACTTTTCCTGATCCGCAATATTACCGGTTGAAATGAAAACCCCAGAAGATGATATAACGCAACTCAATTAATTGATGAACTGCAATATTTAATTAATTTTACAAATTTGACCATCAGCTTTAAAATTTATTTTTATTTCACTAATTGTTCTTGTATATTATTATTATTTTTTTTTTTTAATTGAATATTACGTCTCTGAATATAATAGCCATTTAATAAATTTCTTAAAGCTTTCAATAAAGCATGTATTTTATACAATAAGAAAAGTTTGATTGTGCAACATTTCAATGATTAATATTTTCAAAATACCAAGCAAGAAATTAATTAAAACAAACAGATCGCAAGTAGTACGCCGGAAGTGTCACGGCTCGTACGCTAGTTGCGAGTTCGAAACTTAGTATCGACATTCTAAGAGGATTATTCAAGAACATCAAAAGCACACAGAAGTGTTAAAAGCACAAAAGCCTTTAAGAGTTGCGTGTCCTGTCGCGGAGGCAATTCTACGTGTCCGTCCTGGTAAAATTTCACCGTATAGTTTCCCAAGAGTTTCGCCCCCATCAAAAGTTGTATCGCCGTCTCCCCACAGGGCCATTTGACTTTGTCGAAAGTTGCAGCTCCGAATAACGAACGAGATAGTCTTCTTCGGAAACTTATACCAACGCGATGCGAGAAGCGCTCGTAGACTCCGCGATTCCCGATTGTTACAAATCTCTTATCAGATTGAAACGATTCGAGTATGAATAGAATAGTATAGAGAATTATGTTCCTCATTATAATTGTACATTACAAAATTTGTAAATATTAATTAAACTTGAAAATAAAATAATATAATTTGCGCTTAATGATTATTGATACCAATTATAAGGAGTTCTTGCAATTGTAATTATTTTTTAAGAAAATAATTTTATATTTTTAAATATTAATAGCATTACAAACAGATATTTTTCTTATTTGGAATAATCTATGTCTCTTATAACAAATGTAAATTATATCTTCATATTTTTCTAAT